GAGAACACGGCCGAGTTGGTGGACTGGGCTACTGAGCATGCGAGAAATCGTGGAGCTCCCTGGTGGAAGTCATTCTTTACAGGAAAGAGTCCCAAGTTGGGCGGTATCCCGCATGATACTTACGGCATGACGACCTTGTCTGTCCGCCAATATGTTCTTGGTATCTACAGGAAGCTGAAGATCGACCCATCCACGGTTCGTAAGCTGCAAACCGGTGGCCCCGACGGTGACCTGGGATCAAATGAGATTCTTCTGGCCAACGAGAAATACACCGCTATCGTTGATGGCTCCGGTGTTATTGTCGATCCAAATGGTCTGGACCATGAGGAGCTGGTCCGGCTTGCCAAGAAGCGCGTGACTATCTCCGAATTTGACTTATCGAAACTCTCGCCGGAGGGCTACCGCGTTCTGGTGGATGAGAGCAACATAAAATTGCCGAATGGCGAGCTCATCCACAACGGGATGATATTCCGCAATACTTTCCATTTGCGCCGAGAACTTCCTTATGATGTCTTTGTCCCTTGTGGTGGACGACCGGAGTCCATTGATCTTTCCACTGTTGGAAAGCTTATTCACAACGGGAAATCCACCATCCCCTACATTGTCGAGGGTGCCAACTTGTTCATCACGCAAGACAGTAAACTCCGGCTCGAAAGGTCCGGTTGTATACTGTTTAAGGATGCCTCGGCAAATAAGGGTGGTGTGACGTCGTCGTCACTAGAGGTCCTTGCGTCGTTGTCCTTCAATGACGAGGAGTTCGTCGAAAACATGTGTGTTCGTGAAGATGGCAGTGTTCCCACATTCTACCAGGATTATGTCAAACAGGTCCAGGAGGTCATCAAGCAGAATGCCACTCTTGAGTTCGAGGCCATCTGGCGCGAACATGAGCAAACTGGCCTTCTCCGTAGCGTCCTCAGTGATCGCCTCAGTCTGGCTATTACCAAGCTTGATGAGGAGCTACAAAAGACTGAGTTGTGGGACAATGTTGAACTCCGCCGCTCGGTTCTTGATGACGCTTTGCCCAAGCTCCTTTTGAACAAGATTGGCCTCGATACAATTCTGCAGCGGGTAAGTTTCAATTTTCAGCGTCAGTATCAATTGTAAACTAACGATATACGTAGGTTCCTGAGAACTACCTCCGAGCCATCTTTGGCAGTTACCTCGCAAGCCGGTTTGTATACGAGTATGGCAGCAACCCTAGCCAGTTCTCCTTCTTTGACTTGTATGTGCATCGGTTTCACTAGCCCCAGCTACTAGTCCATTTTACTAACCATGACCATAGCATGACCAAGCGACTTTCCAAGGCTATGGCGTAACATGCTTTAGAAAGACGACGTGATGTTCCTCATTATGATATTGCATCTTCCGGGTTTATACATGACTGCACGTACCCAGTGCTACAGAAATTAATCATGGCAACCATGTCCATCACATGCACGGGATAAAAAAAAGAGTCACGAGTAATGAAGAGTTAATACATCTACATCCTCTGGGTTCTTTCTGCCTCAAATTTAGATCTAATATCGTATAATATTATACATACATACCACAATCAAGAGCGCATTCAGGAAAGCTTTTTTTTTTTTTTAATTTTTTTTTTTTTGCCATAGTGACATGGATAAAGCGATGCTATACTGTTCCAGGGCCATTGTCTCTTAGTGTTTGATAGGCATAAGGATTGTGGCCCGAAATAGCCAGGACAATATAGCTTAGAAAGAATGGATCCATTTGGTTTGTTGCTCCCTTTCTCCTGGCGTATCTGATAGAGGGAGATACTAATGTTCAAAGCATGCGGGAAATCTTTCGGCACCGTACAATAGGTAAACTCATCAATTGAAGTATAGACATCGAAGCAGCCTAGTATAGTCCCCAGTACATGATTTTAGTAGAGCGTGCTGGAAATTTATCATGCGTTGGAAACATTCTATCACTCTGAGAGTGATAGTGAGCTCTTGCTAGGCGTGGAGGTAGATGCAGTCCGCCTTCTCTCCTCTTCCCTACTCCATCTCTCTCATTCTTTTGCGCTTCATACACTCCTTTCCCGGACCATTTTTAACACTCGGATGCGATTGGAATAGTTCTTACCTTCACGGGTAGGAGGTTCGACGTTTACGGATTATGATATGTATAGGTAGAAGCCAGTAGAACGTGCTAGTGCAACATCTGTCAATACATCCCTCTTGCTGTTAGGGGAGATCAAGTCCAAGGGATCATATCCCTACTAACATAGTATGTGACATATACGCCCCAAATTAGACGACGACTTCGTAGCCGGTGATGTTAAACTTTGACCCTTCTTCTTCCTCTGTGCGCTCGATCTCACTGAGTTGTGCCCATAATTCTGGGTATTTCTCCTTGGCCCATTTCTCCACCTCGTCTTTCCAGTATTGATATGGGACTGCGTTGTAGAGAAGACCAATACTGGAAATTACGTCAGCCGTGGTACCAACTGCGAAGGAAGACACCAAAACTTACGAGTTATAATTCGGCAGGTACCCTGTTTCACTGTGCATCTTGTCTATAGCCTCTATAGCAAGGTCAAATTCACATTGCGCAGCGAGAGATTCCACAAATGCCATGTACAGCCGGCGATCCACTTCAATTTCAAGAAGTTTGACCTTCTCCATCATCTTCATTGCCTCCTGTGTGCCGTTGTGGTGCTTCCCGCATAATTTGAAGAAGATTGCAACTGTCTTATGCGTGGGACCTTCGTCTGATTGGAGGATTTGACGGAACACCTCCATACTTTTCTCAGGCATGTCGCAGGCTGCGTAAGCGAGCATTAGCCCATTTAGCAACTTGGTGTTGAGATCAACCTCGACGTCTAATTTGAGCATGTTATGAACAAGCACCAGGTGTTCTGCATCACGCGTTCGAGCTATCCACCGGAAGCATTTGGTATAGGTATCTGGCTTTGGGCGCCGAGCAAAGTCTTCCGCCTGCCGCATATGCCCGAACACTAGGTAGGCTAGATCACTCTGGTTTCTTTTGTAAAATGCTGTCATGATATCGGTTCGCGTGCTTACGCTTGCTTCGGGGAACGCCAGCTGCAGTAACCCATACACCTCCCATGCATCTGCGCCATCTTGGTTGAGGTCCAAGATATAGTCGGTGAGCGCTTTACGTATCTTTGATCTTCCCTCGTCATCATATAATGCCAGACGTGGTCGAAGGAGTTCTGACACCCCATCCCAGTCACGACGGTAGAGCAACATATGCGTTAGTGCCGCGAGCGTCTCAGGCTCCAATCGAACATTATTCTCGAACAAGGGGTCAAGCAAGGATGAAACCTGATCGAATACAGCATCCCCCTGACCTGATAAACAAAGCATTGTTATCAACTTGTTCATCAACGAATAATTCTCAAAAGCCTTGTCGTTGATGTCGTGCAAGCCCTGAACATGGCCGAGAGTTTTTTCCACGTCGCCGGCTTGTATATAAGATTCGAGTTCCAATAAATGCGACTGGGAGTTGGGCTGCAGACCCCAACGCGGGATCAGAGCAGCATACTCAGCAGTCAATTGAGGATTGTTAGTAAAATTGGCATATGCCATCAAGTTGTTCACACATCCGATCGTGAGCGATGCTTTGGCTTCGGGACTATTTTGGATTAGAACCCTGACCTTTTCGGCGACTGCAGATGCATCTTGCCCATGGGCTGCTTCCCAAAGCAACGTGATACTCATGGTCTCTGTAGTTGGTCTGTGCGAAAGTGACTTAAATATAGGCTCGGCCCACGCCGTTTCTGAACGCAGAATTGCATATTTGATAACGGCTTCTTTCGTAGCTAGAGTAGGCTCCCAGCCATCAAACAAAGGGCACTCGTACATTATCTTGACTGCAGCCGGGAGATCTTGTTCAATGAGGACTTTGAGCAACTCTTCGTGGGAGGCAGGGTCAAACTTTATGCCAAAATCGTGAAGACTCTCAGTTGTCCGTCTGAGGAGACGTCTATCTTCATTGATTGCAAATCCTTTCATGACTGTAAGCCAAGGCGAGGGATTGGTCTTGCAGAGCCTGTTCCAGAACTTCTCAACGACATGTCTTGCTCCTTCCGGATTACCATTCAAAGCCTGAATAGTAATATAGGCAATAAGCGCAGGTCGACCTATGTGGTTGGGGCCAAACCCATGGTCTGCACAAAGCTCCATAAAAACGTATCGGGCTAACCTTTGGATTACCTCGCGGGATTCTGGCAGGCATCTTGCTTGGGACAGAACGAATAGCACATTCTCCAGGTTCTCAGTAGAAAAGATCAATTTCCAATCTTTAGGCTCCAGGTCGCCCTCATTAGCTCGCAAGTGCTTCCAAGTAACGACGAGCAAACGGGCTTGAAAGCCCGTGATGACCCCGGGAATGTCCGCTCGTGCAGCAAAGAAATCCTGGAAGGCCTTCGCAAGAACACTAGCTGCAGGCCCCCTGCTTTTGTCACGCATCGCTCTCATCAGATCGCTCATTGATTTTAGGCCAGCCTCCGATGGTAGAGTCGCAGGTTGGGGAGTGGTGGAGGGTCCCATGTTGAATGCGAAAAGCCCACGTCGTTGGATGTGATAGGTATTGGTGACGACTGGCCCTCGGGATCGGTATGTTCGGAGAGTATGTAGTAGTCGATGGCGGCATTGTGAGGAAGGCAGTGGTTCGTTGTTCAGAATAGCTCGGAAAACTCTTCTAGTGAGGTGAGATTGCATCTTGGTAGTATAGAATGAAGCTATAAAGAGAAAGCGTTATGCAATAGACCTCTGTCCCTTTAAAATGGGAGCCTTATCACTGGATATTATGCGAAATTGATCAAATCAGTATGTATCATGCTCCAGGGGTACCGAATTATCGAAAACAAATATACAAAGGGTAACAGTGGAAGGATTAGAAAGTATAGAAGAAGAATGCGAGACGGACTTTGGAGTTGCCGCGGAGGTTTGTTTCCCTGCGGCTCTTGGCGCGGAAAAAGATATTTATTAAATTCAACGAGTTTACGACTCATGCGCTCCACTCTGCCTCCCCAGCCCAACTCATTCACCTTTGAATGCTTGCAAGCTTTTATTGACGCTCCTCAGTTGCTTCGATAGAACCGAGGTTATCGGTCAGTTCTCAAATATGGCTGTTCATCTCTTGTCTTGGTCGTCTCCATTGCGCACCTTCGGGTCGACCATGAACTCCATGGTTGCAAGCCGGTGGAATTCGACTCTCGCAACAGAAGGCGCTGCTTATCAGCGTGCTACCAACGCTAATCAAAGTATGTGAATATCCAAACGATGTGACCGCCTATGTTTCCTGCAGAATTGAGTACTTCTCTAGACATTACTTCCTCGGCCAGCACTGACTGTCCCGAAAATAGGACCAAGAGTATTCAGCCGTCGTCGTGTACCGAACCGCCAAAAGTTCATCGAAGACCAAAAGGCCCAAGGAGAGAGTCGAATTTTAGAGAAATACCAAACTCGCGATTGGCGAGCAGGCGATATTTACACACCTCATGATCTCAGCGCTGCCGAGATGAAGAAGTGGAGGAAGCGCTACAGCCCAGCCACAGATGCTTTTGATTCTTTGAACATGAACCCGCTAGACTTGTACAAGGTATGTGCGGTTTTAACTGAACGATTATTTTTTCGATGGCTCGGACTCCCAGTGATTGTTAACTTATTTTGCGTTAATGCAGAACTTCTCGATCATGTCCGAGTACATCACCCCAATGGGGCGTATAAAGCATAGAAATACAACTGGTTTACGACCTGTCAACCAACGGAAGATTGCAAAGGCTATCCGAAGGGCTATTGGCCTTGGTCTGATGCCTAGTGTCCATAGACATCCAGAGATCCTGGCAGCGGAATTGAAGGCGAAGGTAGATGGAAGCAGCATATTCTGAAGCAAATGGGGCCATGTGAACGGGGAACTCATATGCAGGATCTATGGAGGACTCCATGCGTTTTCTTGGACTTTTTCTTATCTCGAAGTCAGGCACCTTCGGAGCCAGACACTGTACTTCTACATTCAAACATAGTCATCACTGAAAATTGGGATTGGACTTGTAACTTATCTATCAGAAATTCGATCGGTTGAATCTTTATTATCTCTAAATTATCTACTATTGCTGTACAAAATCCCAATTATGAGGGTTGTCTGGACATAAGACGAGGAACGAGTTGTCCCGTCCGTGGTTCACGTTCCCCACCGATAAATACGTCAACCGGAGGAGACATCCATAGCTGTCAACATCGCCCACGCTCTCCTTTACCTTCTGCTAATTCCGGATTCCCCATTCCCTTTCATTGCTGGTATTGTCTGTTGGTACAGCCATGTCAATTACAAACGGTCAAGACCTTACTTACCCTTTCCCATGCGAGCCAGTATAACTAACACATTTCAGACTTCATTTGGGCGGCTAGTCCTTCTACAACTAGGGGCCAGCCCACTCATCTCTCATCGGATGCCAAAGGCGAACGACTTGCTTATGCGGTAATCACAAGGCAACCTATCGTTCTTTATAAGAGATATCGGAAGATCTTAACTAACGGGAAGTGAGGCTCAAGGCCAATAAATCCATATTCTTGCGTTCAATCGACGACCCCGCTCTCGCGAGGCAGTACACCGAACATAAGGCGCAGACTACGGTCGCACGGTTCTCGCCGTCTGGATTCTACGTCGCTAGCGGTGATGCAGCTGGTCTAGTTCGAGTCTGGGACTGCGTCGGTGAAGGGCATACGAAGGGAGAATACAGTATTGTCAATGGCAGGATCAATGATCTCGCATGGGACGGGGATTCCCAGCGTATAATCGCCGTAGGTGAGGGGAAGCAACGCTATGGCCACTGCATTACTTGGGATAGTGGAAATACTGTCGGGGAAATCTATGGCCACACCCAACAGATTAACGCAGTCTCAATCAGGCAACAGCGACCTCTGCGAGCTGCTGCTGCTGGTGATGATAAGAATTTAGTATTCTACCATGGAGCGCCCTTCAAGTTCAATACAGGTATCCGTGACAAGCACACTAATTATATTTATGGTGTCGGCTTCAGTCCAGATGGCTCAACGCTGGTTAGCGTTGGTGCTGACCGAAAGATCTGGCTCTATGATGGCAAGACGGGAGAGCCAAGGGGCCAGGTTGGGGAAGGTGAGCATAAGGGTAGTATTTTCAGTGTTTCATGGTCCAAGGACTCTCGGAAGTTTGTAACTGCGAGTGCCGACAAGACGGTCAAGGTATGGGATGTGGAAGCCGGTAAAGTTTCACAAACCTGGAACATTGGAGGGGAGGGAAGTACAGATGTCAAAGACCAGCAGGTCGGTGTGGTTTGGCCTCCGGGCAGAAGTGACAATCTGCTCATCAGTTTGTCACTAGGTGGCAACCTGAATTACCTTGTTGAAGGTACTCCCGAACCTAGACAAGTCATACAAGGCCACCAGAAAAACATTACCTCCTTGACACACTCCCGCCCTAGCAACGGCAATGACACACTGTGGACTGGCAGCTTCGACGGCAGAGTCTGCAGCTGGGACGTGCTACTGGAACTGCGGAGGAGGCGGACGGTGAGAGTCACTCGACGTACATCGCAGGCCTTGCGCCGACACAAGAAGGCAATGGTAGAATCTACAGCGTGGCCTGGGATGACACCATTAGATCCGTGGACGTCGGAGCTAAAACGTACACCGGAAGCTCTTCCAAGTTATCTGGACAGCCCAAGGGTATTGCTGCAGCTGTAGTGGTATTGGTAGGGACCTCAGAGAGCGTTGAGATCTACAAAGATGGCCAGAAGATCGGCGACTTCAAATCAAAGTTTCCCATCACTACTGTGGCAGCACATGGAAGCACTGCAGCCATCGGTGGCGATGATTCAAGTATTCAAATCTGCGAGATCTCGGGCGCTACTTTGATTCCAAAGACGGATTTTAAAGCTTCTCGAAATCCCGTGTCTGCATTGGCTTTCTCGCCGAATGGTTCCCTGCTGGCTGTTGGCGATTCGCGTGGTCGCGTTCTCGTTTACAAGGTTGCCGATGCCAGTCTAGTCACAGACCGTTGGACGGCACATACTTCACGGATCACCTCTATTGCATGGAACGAAGATGGTACACATGTTGCGAGCGGAGCGTTGGACACCAATATATTCGTGTGGAGCCTGGCCAATCCTGGAGAATGGCTTCAAGCTACTAATGCTCACAAAGAAGGTGTCAACGGTGTAGCTTGGGTGTCGGGGTCGAAGATTGCATCGGCTGGCGCGGATGCAGCAGTCAAGTTGTGGAAAGTAGAAGGCTTGGAATAGAGCAGAGGGAAATGAACTTTGGGACAGCAGCGATTTTACCGTACGTACATATGGGCGAGAGCAAAGTTATCTCTCTGCAGCTTCTTTCTTATCTCACTGTCCTTTCCCTCAAATTTGAAGTGTACATACATACACATATACAACGAAGTACTGTATCTACAAATTTCCTAGGATACTATAATTATTTTAGCATAGTAGTACTCCGTATTACGTTAGTACAGTAGGATGCGTGTTCCTTACTCACCCAGGCCGTGGTGATAAGATGGCGGGTGATCAGAACTCCACTCAAAGCAGATAGATCAAGCAATGATCGTCATTTACAGCTACACAATACGTCAGTCTGCAAACTCCGCTGCGATAACTCTTGGTGTCCTCTGCGCGCCTCCAAGAAGGCAAGAAGGAGAAGAAAAATGAGATGAGAACATGTCTCTGTCTGGGGACGCGTCGAGTAGTTCCCGTCGCTTTTTGCGACCGAAGAAGGTACCATGACAGATTTCTTCTGATTGAAAATGTTCGAGGAAAAAAGGAAAGAAGACGAGCCACCGTTGCTAACCATAAGTCTGATACGAAGCTGCGGCAGGCGACATTTGTTTTACCGAAAACCGGTCAACGCTTGAGAGGTCTGGTTACTTTACGAAACCCTCATTTCCAACCGAATGGCCACAACGATGAAGAACGCCGCGGGCTGCTCTCCGGACAGTATTCCGTGGATCGTGAAGGGATACCTTTACGCTTATGGAGAAAGGTGCGAGAGGCAGAACTTTGGATACATCAAGTTGTTTCTACTGAGCTAGGAATCGGAGTCCTGAAATGCAGCCTAGCTTACTTATTGGGGTCGCTTGCAACTTTCGTGCCAGCGATCGCTTCGTGGCTAGGCCATCAAGATGGCAAGCATGTCGTGGCCACCGTTACAGTCTATTTCCACCCAGCAAGGTCTCAAGGAAGCATGTACAAGGCATCAATTTGTGCCTTCCTAGCATTTCTCTACGCCGCCTTCATCTCTTTGACAAGCATGTGTGTCTCTAGATTCTTTCAGGACACCCTTGACCTACTCCCACTCGGTCATGCTATAGTTCTTATAGTCTTCTGTGGAGGTGGTTTAGGATTTATTGGATGGATAAAACAAAGACTGGGTGACCCCCTTGTGAATGTCGCCTGTTCCCTCGCTTCGCTGTCGTCCATTACTGTCTTGACAAAAGAAGGCGCAGTACAGAATGGGGACTTGTCGTTCGCTAAAATTTTCCAGGTTTTGAAAATGGTCGTGATGGGCGTAGCTGCAGCCATGGCTGTGTCATTTATGATATTTCCAATATCAGCGCGGAAAAAACTACGGGTAAACCTCACTACTGTCACCGAGACGCTAGCAACGATGCTAGCCTTGATTACCGAGAGCTTCCTTACCGGATCTGAAGAGGAGCTTCAGACTGAAGAATACCTAAGTGCAGCTGCACGCCATAAGCAGGCATACAGCCAGCTTGACAGACTGGTAAGAGAAGCGAAACTGGAGCATTTTGTTGCAGGTACAGAGAGACAGTACAGGCTAGAGAAAAACCTTGTACGCTGGGTACAGGATATAACTCATAACATGGGCGGCTTGCGCAGTGCGGCTCTCCTGCAATTTCAGCTGCTAAAGCAAACCAAACTTGCCAGGCCGACCCAGTACAATAGCGAAGCAGCAGTTATAAACGGGGTTTACCGAGGATCATTACCTAGTCCATGGTCACTACATGAGGAACGGCCAATTTTAGAGTCGATAGATGAGAGGCCAGAAGAAGAAGTCTTGGATTCGGATAGAAACAGGTCTTTTTCAAGTCTGGGAAGAGACCCTTCTAATTCAGAGCCTGATCACGTTCTTCTTCCTGCGGACATTTTCGCATTATTTATCGGTCATTTAGGGCCATCGATGGTAACGAGACACCAAACTACATTTTGGTAAGTACTAATCATTAATAGAGATCGCTTGCATTCACTTTGAAAGAAATTTTTAAGGAGATTCCTTTCAAACCTGCACCGGATTACAGGGTCGCAATCAATAGTAGGTTCCGCACCAGTCTTGACCGGGCACTTGATCTCTATCGAGAATCCCGAGAAGAAGCGTTGAAGACTATATATCGACAGAAGGACGTCCTAGATATCCAGACCCTTGAAGTCGAAGCGGATCTGGAGGAAGTTGCTGCCAGTTGCGGCCATTTTAGTTTTTCGCTTCTGGAGTTCGGTGAGCAGCTGAAGGATCTGTTAGCAATCCTTGATGAACTGCAGCTTGAAGCTGAGGAGAGGCCCAATGGCAGGTCCTGGAACTGGCTGAGGTTTTGGTGTCGACGAAATGCTTGGGTAAAAGCAAAGGATACCGGTATGTTGCCTCGGCTAGGATGGGCCTAAGCTGTTAAGATGATGCTGACTAGCCCTCTAGAGCAGCCATTGGTTGAAGCAGATTTCATACAAGGTGGTGTTGAACCTCAACTGGAGGTCGGCAACGCTGAGTCACACAGTAAAACATTGTCATCATCTCTCCATCCGGGAAACGTATCGGGGAAAAAGGGCTTCGGTTATCGTATCTGGAAGTCACTCAAGATCCTTCGACGGGATGATACCAAATTTGCCATCAAAGTAGGTACAGGTGCGGCGCTGTATGCTTTGCCGTCATTTCTCCCGTCTACAAGACCGTTCTACTCTCACTGGAGAGGCGAATGGGGTCTTTTGTCATACATGCTAGTTTGTTCGATGACCATCGGTGCTTCAAATACCACCGGATATGCCCGTTTTTTGGGTACCTGCTTAGGGGCACTCTGCGCCGTCGTTTCGTGGTACGTGACAGGTGGGAATATGTATGGCCTCGCATCTCTGGGGCTATTCATGGCTACGTGGACATCTTATCTCATAATAGTCAAGGGGCAGGGTCCGATGGGCCGCTTCATCATGCTTACTTATAACCTCTCGGTATTGTACGCGTACTCCCTCAGCCAGAAGGAAGGGAACGATGACCAGGACGAAGGAGGCGAGAGTCCGATTATAACTGAGATAGCTCTTCATCGTGTTGCATCTGTTCTGTCTGGCTGTATCTGGGGTATTATCATCACACGAGTGATTTGGCCCATCAGCGCTAGGACGAGATTGAAGGATGGTCTAAGTCTTTTATGGCTTCGAATGAGTCTGCTCTGGAAACGCGGCCCCCTGTCTACCATGACTAGCAACACAGATAATTCGGTTTTCATGAGCCCAAGAGAGAAACTGGAGATTGAACGATTTCTTTCGCGCTTGGAGTCTCTTCAGGCGTCCGCCCGCTCCGAGTTTGAGCTGAAAAGCCCATTCCCTGATTTGGCGTACAGTAACATTCTCCGCCGCACAAGGAGTATGGTGGACGCTTTTCTTGCGATAAATATTGAGCTTGATAAAAATATGACATCATCTGAAGGCGAACTTAGTATTCTCCAATATACCGACAAGGAAAGACAGCAATTGTCGTCGCGCATCAGCCATCTGTTGTCAGGTGAGTGTAGGAGATCAATCAGAAAGAGCAATGCTGATCGCAAGTATAGTAATGGCTTCCTCTATGAAACTCGAGTACCCGCTAAGCGACGTCCTTCCCAGCATTGAGCATGCTCGAGATCGGCTTCTTGCCCGCCTCTTCCACTATCGCAAGGACCATGAAGCATCCCGCCTGTCTACAGACGAGGATTATGCGTTATTGTATGCTTACAGTAAGTCGAGACTACACCGCAATTTATACTTTTGAATCCCAAGCGATTTGAACATTATGGCATGAACCGGTCATACAATATCGACTAATTTATCTATAGTTTTAGTAACTGGTCAATTGTCGACAGAGATTGAGGGGATCATGGCGGAAATCAGCTGGTTGTTTGGAGTACTCGACGAAGATATTGTGAAGCTATATGATTAGTCTCTTTCCCCCCACCCCCAAACTGACTGCGTTCCTTCAGAAGACGAAGCACAAGTAAAAAGATGTAGTAATCGATAAATATACAGGATCAAAAAACATTCAGAAACAAAGTAGTCCTTTTTTGAAGTCTTTATATCGCTTCATTCACTGGGAGAATACAGTGACTTTTGTTCCTCTTTTTTGGCGGGGAAAAGAAATCCAACCCCAGCATTTTATCAACTTCAACCTCCTTCCATCACTTTGCTCATCGACCCAGTGCCCTTCCTATCCCAATCCCCTCGTTCCTCGCATGCTCTAGCCTTTCCCTAATTTAGAACTGTCTTTCGGGTTTCTCTGGCATGTATTCTGCTTCATGAAGGAATAGTTCTCCCCGCACCCCGGCTTCGCGCAGCCCGTCGCGCTTCTGCGAGCCTCACAACCATGCAGATCGATCCGGCCGCTCTGAGTCGGACTGAGTCTGCATCGACCGCAATAACTCCCTCAAAAAATGCGACCCCTAGCACCTCGACGACTTCGAAGTCTACCAAAGCGCTGATATCTGTCCCGCGACTGGATCTTGAACCTATCTATACGGAACTGAAGGCCGCTATCGGCGACAGCTGGCCCGAGTACAAGGAGGCCACTACTTTCTTTCTTCTAGGTATGAATGCGTAGCGGAACTCAGCCCAATCCTTGCAGGTTTCTATTCCTTTTATTCCCATTTTTATTTTCTTTTTTATTTTCTTTTTGCTCTTCAACATATGTTTACCCTCTGGAGGATAAACTAACATCGCTATTCCTTATCACAGGACAACTGAACCAGAATGAACTTTCGTCTCGCGTCGATCATATAATTTGCGCCGACCAAAAAACCGAGCACCTCCATAATAATTTCATATGCGCAATTATTGGGAACCTCACAAGGGACCTTCCGGATCATGGAGTTGCAAGTTGGGTGTCGGCGAACGACAAACCGTCGGTGGTCTCGAAGCCGACCTCAGGGGATGCAGCGGAGCAGAGGCTAAAGACGGAGGTCATGCAACTTCCTCCTAGAGATCGTCGACGAATAAAAGCAATTCCAGAGGTACGATTACAAAGTTGTAGAGGACCATTAGAGTGCGCATTCCATTCTAACAATGGTCTTCACCAGCACGATCCCGTTGAAACTACACCTAATGAGTTAGAGGAGTATCATTTGGCAAAACAAATAAAGCTGCCGAGTCAAGTACCGGCAAGTGCAGGCGGTCTCAATAAAACAAGTAGGTGTAATAAATTCAATGTTTCACCTATGAATTTGGAGATGCTTACCACGCTACTTGGCGGTAGATTGGGAACTGGAGATTCGAAAACGTTATGCGCAACCTCTAGCGTCAGAGACCGGTGAGTTCCCAGATGCGGAGTCCATTCATGCTCGCATGATCCCTATATGCTACGAGGAGTCAATTGTTAGTGGCGCAGGACTACCCTGCGCTGAGTTCATGGCCATTGCCACGGAAACTTTTGTGAAGGAAGTTTTATCTGTTGTATTCTCACGTACGAGGTCTAACGGACCATCTGGCACCATCAATGGTATGATGATGCGCAAATATCGTCAGCAGCTTGAACGGGAAGAATTAGCTTTCACACGCGGGGAGATTGTGAAAGATGGTGCAACGGGCTTGCTACCTGTCGAGGCCAAAGAAGCAAGTGTTAGAAAGCCACTTGGGGTCAGAGACCTCCGTTTGGCTTTAGAGCTCGGTGGTGGGGTTCTCAGTCATATGCCGCTGATTGTTGATCAAATAATGGGCGGTTACCTTGAGGATGAGCTTGAAACAGACAAGAGAGACCGAGCCGATGATGTGGTGGAGATTCCCAAGGACAGTATGAAGTTGAATCATTCGACGGACACAATGGAGGTTGATGATGATGGGGAGATTGTATGGGAAGGTGCCACGATGGCAGACCGAGAACAGCTGGGGTCTTTACTGGACGAGTGCTTGTCTATGGCCTCTTGATTCTTCCCCCCTCCTTCTTTCTTCCATCGGCTCTTTCCATCATGATCTTCATTATAATTTCGGGCCTCCTCTTCCTCTTTGATTTCCCCTTTCTTTTTGTGTCCTCTTGGCTTATTGTAAGTCTTTGATTCTACAAGACCAAAGCAGTGGCATTTCGACCTGGTAGGATCTAAAGGCGTACTTGGAGTATGAGGGGAATTTGTTACTGGGGTGACATTGTCTACTTTTATTTGGCATGGATTTCAAGCGTTCGATCCGTTTTCTATTTTTTTCTTCGGTCAGGAGGCTCCTTTGGCTTCTTTCCCTTTACAGCTTGGCGCGTTTTGAGAACTTGGGTTCAAGAGTCCTCCTCGAGAACTCGAACATGGCAGTTCTTGGGTGCAATGCGCATAAAATGTGCTTCAAAGAGTGGCCACAGGGTCCAATTTATAGGTAGACGTGTTGTCTACGATTCATAACAGAAACACAGAAACGAAAAGAGAAGAACAAGGGTTTCTGGATGTGCGGCAAACTCGTTCGATACCCACTCTTTGGTTTACTATTCCTTCTTTTCCTTTTCTTTGCCGTATATTTGGCCGGTTGTTGTGATCCATATATACTTTGAGAACCATGAAGGCTACCTGGCATCCTACGCATACACTGTTCCTGGCTTGCTTCTGTACTATTTCCCCCTTGCTTCATCTAACCGCTATATTTCTTGTCTCGATGAATGATGGAGTGCAACAGACGTATTAAAATCGATCTTGTCGGGCCAATCTTCACTATCAGAATCCATTTACCTATATTCTTAGTCCTTTCTAAGGCTCACTAGTACAATCTCTTGTTTCCCTCTCCAACTCCAAAATATTACGACCTTTCAGAATATAGCTTACAAGCCAATGTGGAATAATTATGCGAGCGTGTTGATTACCTACAAAAGTCGCTCGGCGACCGACTTCAAAATTTCTTCAGTCGACTTGTGCGCGTTGGTAGGATCTTTAGCCACAGATTGCCAGACCTCGCCATGCTTGGGCTCCGTAGAGACGCACTTCGATACCACATCTGCCCGCTTCTCCTCTGTTCCATGCTGCAATAGGAACTTGTAATACCAAGCCCAGCCGTCCCCCAAATCGCTGTCGGACACAATAGCCTTTTCAAACCACGTCATGGCTTTCTCTAGTCGACGCTCTCCCCAGAAAATCCGCGCCACTGTAATGAATAATATCGGGTCATTATCGACCTTCTTGATAGCCTCCAAACTGCGAGCCTTCCGTTGTGCTCGCGGTTCAAGATGCCAGATACTCTCGCTCCATAACAATCCAGATGTTGGCACTTCCTGCAATGCCCTTGCCATCAAGATCTTGGCTTGGGCCATATTGTTTGCACGCCGTTCAACTCGAACACTCTCTGTCCATAATTCAGCGCTCTTAGGAACAGCAAGCCGAGCTCTATCAAGAACAGAGCGGGCCTTGACGACAGCACCAGCCTTTTCTTCCAGTCTTGAGGCCAGTAGCCACAATGGAACCGATCTAGAGCACGCACGAGTACCTGTTCCATACGCCTCTCGGGCTTGCGGGTACTTATTCTGGGATTCATAGATTTGACCCTTCATCATCCAGAGTTTGTCAGCCTTCGGGTATAGTTGAAGGCCCTGATTTACTAAATCTAGCGCCTCATCTGCATTGCCCAGTTGTCGCTCAAAGGCGACACTTTTCACCCAAACACGATCTGTTCCGGCTTCCCGACGAGCAGTCGCAAGGAGCTCTCTAGCCTGATCTGTTTGCTGGGCGTCGGCCTCGAGCTTAACAGCAGCAAGCCAAATATCCTCGTTATTGGGATTCTGGTTAAAGGCACGACCCAGCACTCGTCTGGCCTCGTCAATTTCTCCAGTTTGCCATTTCTCTTTGGCAAGGAGCAACCATAGCTCTTCACTCTGTGGGCAAGCTTCCACAGCCTTCTCGAGCACTTGCCATAACGCTTCTTTCGTACCATGATTACGCTCAAGGTCTGCCGCTGCAAGCCAAATAGACCTGCGGTTGACAAACACACGCAAAGCATAAGCATAGATGGCTCTGGCAGTCTCGTACTTGCCCCTGGCAATACTGGCTTTTGCATCATCCATCCAGATATCTTTCCTATCATCGTCTTCATCCAGACCCCATCCTAAAGTCTCGCGGATAATCGCCCCGCAAGTGAGAATCGCTCCCTCCTCTTCACAGTTCTCAGCTTCTGCTATCCATTCCTCCCTCTTAAGCATAGCATTCTCTCTGGCGAGGGACTGTACAGCTCTCTTCATCACATTCACCTTATTGAAAGTTCCCATTTGCTCCTGCAGTCGTGAAGCAGCAATCCATATCTCATAGCTCGTAGGGACAGCTTTCCTAGCAGCGTTTAAGACCTTTTGGGCGTTCTCCGGTGTTTCGAGACGGGCAAGGGCCAGCCATAGCTCCACAGATAGCGGTATCATTTCAACCGCCTTTGCGAGAAGGAGGCGTGCATCTACAGGGTCTTCTTCCAAGTTGACAGCTTCTTTCCAAATGACAACTGACTGAGGAATGTGGAGAATGGCCTGTCTCAGAACATTTTTCTTTGCACGAGGCTCAGATTCCAACCTCATCGCTTCAATCCAGAGTCTTGTAGAGCGATCATTGTTCTGGATGGCATTTGCAGCAATTACCTTCGCATTGTGACCTTCATTGAGCCGAATATTCTCAAGCCATGCATCTTCACTCTTTGGGCACAGCTCACATCCCTTGGCGATGCAGTTTCTAGCAGCCACAATTCTACCAGCAAGTTCCTCCAGACGAGCAAGCGCAATCCACCCAGGCGCGTGCTTCGGATTAGTCCTCGTCACAGACTCTAGCAAAACGCGAACTCGTTTGATATCGCCTATCTCCACTTCGCCAGCTTTCAGCTCAGACTGCGTGAGACTCGTGAGATAACCTTTTGGGTCAATGCTAGTGGCACTTCCAGAAGCCGAATCCCCGGATGAACTTATAGCTGCTTGGTCAAGCTTGACTTTAAGGGCCTTATCACGAGCAGCACTGATATCCGCAAAATTTGTTATTGTCCCGTCCACCCCTTCCCCCCGAGTGTCGGTATGGGCGCCGTCATCTGTAACAGTTGTCTCGAATTGGGTGGAGTCTCTTGCACTGGCAAGAACACTATCTGGTACTGCGTAAAATCGTTGCCGGAGGTTCTGTTTGGCTCGTCTATTCTTGCCTGTAAGATCTCCAACTTCAGGAAGGTTGGCCCAATCGTCTTCGGAGACGGAAGCTAATGAGCGTTTTAAATCGGCGAATTGTTGTTGAATTTTCGGGTTTTTCCGTTCGTAGTCTTCTCGTTCTTGACGTTCCCGGGTTTCCCTATAATTGGCGAAGGAATCAAGTCGGTTTTCTATCCAGACAACCGGGAGTGAACCCGATGAACAAATCGCACCATCAAATAGGTGAATGGGAAGAGTGAGGGGAAGGGAGGGTACCAACCTTCTTGCCTTCCGGCGCTTGTCCATCCTCTCATCTACTTCTCTGTATATGCGATCTGCTTCGTCATCTTCTTGATCGAACTGTCCGTAAGCGAAAAGCCCAACTTCATTGTCCGGATCCTGAAAACGCTCATCGTCCTCCTCTTCCTCAGCCTTATCTTCTTTGCCACCTTTCTCACGTCCCGCACCATATGCAGTCGGAGGGGCTGCACCAAGCAGTTGCGCTCTCTTTGCGAGCGCTGCTTGAATCTGCTCTGGCGTGGGACCTTCACGCGCAGGCCCCAGGTCCGAACGAGTAGTGAAGCCAGTTGCACCTCTACCTAGGCCTGCAACATAGTTTTCGGGGGCCGGCTGGCTCAAAAAGTCCTTCCGCCCGGAGGCCATCTTGACCGGAGATACGGAGCAAGACTGCGCGACTTTTTAAGTAAGCTTAAGTGTACCAAAATTCCGAGGTAGCAGGAAGTTATTTCATGCTTTGAAGAGGCAATGGGCGCAAGAACATTATCCCGCTCCCGTATATCTTATCAGAGTCATCCAGCCAAAAGTAGTTTAGACCCTATACCCTCTTACCTTCATTACCCAGTGCTCCATATACGAGCCCTAAGAGCTGCTACTACTCGTACTCCGTCCTACTACTCTGTGAATTCTCGAATACTAGTGGAATTCACACAGTAGACCATGCACTATGTTCCTAGAAAGTTCCAGGTTCACTCTTCGGATAGGTCGACATTTATATTAGCCATGTTCCATACACCTAGGACGTCGTATGTCTAAACAGTGCTTCCTTTGCGCGCCTAATTGCTTAGCTGCACTGATAAAATTCCATACGTCAACGTTTCGCCCTGTAAGCAGCCCTGCGGACTGACCACCGCATTGCCCACTCTGTCGCACCACGCTTTTGCCCATCACAAAGCCTGTCGGTAGGCTATAGAGTAGACGCCTTCAATTTGCGAGTATGAGGCTGGGTAGATCACCTGCTGACGGCACGCATGATAATCCTCAAGTAGCCTCCCCTCTCCCAGTCAATCCCAGTGTTGTTCCATCTTGTTCCCAGACCTACATGGTTGGTAATCAGAGCTAGCCCACCGAAGAATTGGTTGTGAAAGAGAAGAGCTAAACGAACCCACCATAGCCTTTCCAGGATCCCTAGGTGGTAGATCTAGTAGAGACTAATGGCAGGGCAGGATATAGGCATGTCTAGGCTGGGCCCTCTGCAGATCAGGAGATGAACACAATGAACGTGCGCGACACGGGGAAGGTGATAAAGCGGACCTAGTCGACAAGACCACCGATCTTGATGAAAGGAGAAAAGGGCTTTCTTTCCTTCCTTTTCCCTTGTTTTTCTCTCGTCTCCTTCCTCCTCTTTTGCACGCGCGCATACAGAAGATTGAGATGCGTGAGGAAGCCGGAAGCAGTAGATGTCGACAGACTTTTACGGGCTTAGCAGAGGAACGTACGAGCATCTGCCACGGGGCCGCTTTTAGAAGTTGTCGTGGGTTTTCCACTACAAGGGCTTTCCTGTTTACTTTGCATTTATGTCCAAGGGGAAAGAACCTGGACCGGCTTGCTTTGCCACAAGCTAGGGGCTTGGAGCATGCTTATTAGAACTCGACTTCGTCATTGCAATCCATTATCGGGGGATGGGTCACCAGTGGAACGAAGATGGGCCCGAGAGTCTTGAAACAGGCTTTGCCAAATGAAAGCTTCGCTCAACAGGAGTTCAATATCTTGTTCGGTCCAGTCTTTGGTTGGGAGGGCTTGCAAAAACATCATGACTTCCTATTCTCATTCAGCACTACCTTCCTTATCATAATTTTTCTCAGTCAACGCGCTTACCTGGAAATCCATCTTCACCAACTGGTCCGACCATTTGACTAGAAAGGCCGCGCACACGTAAATGTGAAATCTTGAAAAGCCCTGCTCCTCGGCCTTGAATACAAGATTAGCACGCTTCACCTAAATGCAAAATTAGGGTAACGAACCATGTACGTGTCCCACATGCGTATGGTGTTCTGGACGCTCATTTCGCGCATGAGCAAGCAGTTCATCCATCGGAAACTAAATTGCATAAATTCAACACCTTCTTTCTCCAAATGTTTGGCGAGGGTAGCATCAATGCGCATGGTTAAGTCGCGTAATGCTCTAACTTGCCGGTGTATACCAGGCTGGGCATATATATAATTATCCTGAATGCCGTCAAGAAGCTTCGTAAGACACCAGAATGTATCCGCTTCGACGGCATCCAAAACACTCTTGGGCAATTGACCCGGGTCCATCCCTTCTTCTACATTAAGGTCCGTAACGTAGACACCTAGGAAAACTTGCCAAAATGGAGTAGCGAGATCATTGATCCCTTGCACATAGCCGCTGGCTGGGTGTCGGATGGCCCAAACATAAAGAATCCTTTCTAGTGAGCGTTGGGTAGCCTCATAGCCGTAGAGCTGAATATGTGGGCAAGTGCGAGGGACATCTATACTGATTTGATGCCATATTGCCTCGTCCAGCCCTCTGCCGCGCCCTGTTGTCGAAGCAGGAGGTTTTCCGGCAACTGCGGCGTTGCCGCGCTCGAAAGCCTGGCGAACGCCATCTAAATACTCCTTACGCTTCCTTTCGAGGGTCGAAATACGTCGTTCACAATTTGTTGGGAGGTAGCCCAGGAGAAGTTGCCAGGTCATCGCCCGTACCTCATCAGGGACTCCTGACCAGGCCAAGTTTCTTAGTTCTGCTAAGGGAACCGTGCTTGTTTGCAAAAGGCGTTTGAACTTGTTGATTCTCGAAATGCGGCTCGAGTATTGGTCCATTTCTTTCGGAGTTGCACTCTTGGGGGGCGGAGCATGGTTGATAAGATTCAAAGCGTTTGCAGGATCTAGTGAGGATTAGTCTGCAAATTTCGGTAGCTTAAATCGCATCCGTTACCTCTTAGAACGTCTTTATACTGAGGCCGAAGTATCTTCTCTTCCCCCTTTTTAGCTGTTGGGTACATAGGAACACCTCGTTCCTCCGCAATATCCGAGCTGTTGGCACGTTGTCTACTGTTCCCTAGACCAACACTAAGGGCCGAGGCACTGCCTCCAATTCGACCGCCTGGGTCAGCACTCCTGGATGGAAGAGGGTCGACATTCTGTTTCTGCTTCTTCCGCATGCTCGTAATGCTAGGAAGTCCAAACTCATCCTCATCATCATCATAGACAATGTCCTCCTCCTCTTCCTCTTCGTCTTCCATTTGATCGCGACCCCATGAATCGACTCCTTGGTTCATAATACCGGTGTACGACCTACGAGAAGAGGCAGACCATGATGCAGGCTGATGGGAGGATGGCGAGAATTTTTGAGGATTGGTAGACGCTGATCGGGGCGGTGTCCGCGGGCGCGCATGCTGTTGCGATATACCTCTGCTAGACGCACTAAGTTATTCAATGTATCTTGAGGAGCTGCTAAGAATTATGACACATGGGCGAACGAAATCTCACTTCAAAATATTTGCATGGGAATATGAAGAGCCAACAACGGTACTTTGATCATTGGGTTTGGGGAGCCTGTGGTTCTGGGAAACTGGTCTTCCCTTCCAGAAGGGCGAGCCCGTTCTCCTTCGCAAAGGTGATTAGCAAGAAATGGGGAACAGAAGAGAGACACAATAAAGTGCGTAGCTAATTAGACTTATCGCACCAGTAGGGTTGCACATACTCAGAACGGTCTAATAAGTTGAAAGCGGGGAGCTATATCAGCTGCTAGAACGAGGTGAAACATGGGACTATGAGGTACGAACCAACCTGGACCATCTCCTATACCAAAGACAAGTAGTTCGGATTAGCTCTTTGTCGCATTGGTTTGAGGAGTATTTCTAGATACACTTACCTGCGGCTGTGACTTTCTAGTAGCCATTGCGTGACGCCACTGGTGTGCGGAGGTTCATTCAGAATTGGGGGAAGGTAAGTAATTGAAGAAGGGGGAGGAAAGAAAGACAGAGGTTAGTTGCGGGGTGCTTTACGGCACCATGATGCTGCTGTAAGTAGTAGACTAGTCGAGCCAAGATGAATTAACAACTTGTGATGGTACAGAATAGTTAGATATTGTATTGTCAAGGTGATCTATACTATATATAATAGTTTCCTTCTCTTCTTAAGTTAAGAAAAATGATTGTTGGTGAAGAATTGAACAAAAATTGAGCCAAGTGTTATGATAAGTTGCCCAGGGCAGGGACCTTCTAGCATATTGGAGACAAGATAGTACTGTGTTCTTGACCTATGTATGTGTATGTATGGGGAAGAATATAATACCTAGGCAGGTAAATGGAATGAAATTTATTACGGATCTCAGGTTCGCGCGGTCAGCGGCTAACTTAAACTGACTAACTCCTCTCTGAGTCTTGTTCACTCTCATGCTAACCTCCAAACGTAAACCACACACCTCTTCCTTTCTTCCACTCTGCTGCTATTCCTCTCTCACCCCTCTTAAACCAAACTTCCCAATTCACTTTATGAGTACTGTCCTCATTTCCGTTGGCTAATTATTTGTGAGAAGGAATCTCGCTTCGTCACCACTGGACTTAGGTTGCTAGATTCTTCGGTCCCTAATTGAACTGGTTCAATCAGCTTCATTCTACTGCAGCCACTCGGCCCTTCGCTTACGCTGCTTTTTAGTATTAACTCACCATGACCGAGCCAGAGGATGTTGAAGAAGACCTGTTTGCAGATCTGTATGGCGCTTCACTTTGCCGCAATTTACCTCACAAGAGCCTGTCTAATGTCCTGACAGGTATGATGTGGATGAGACCGCGCACCAACCAACTTCAACCGTTGATGCCCCAGTTACCTCGGAGCCTATAGCTTCGGTCCTCCCGACTCAGTCGGCCGGCCTTCCTGCAACACATGCCTCCGACGCCTCTCATATTGAAACGGAAGACATTCGCGGTGTACACCAACAGCTCCTACAGGATGGAGCTCACCAACATGGCACAGGCAATTTAGATTCTGGATTCGCCAATACTATCACCCCTATTTCGGGGGAAACAGAGCATCACGGAACCGGGATCAAAGAAGATGGGTAAGTAATAGCTTCTTTTGCTAGGGATGTTTTGAAGTTTTTACACGCTTGCTGGGATTGGAATGCACACCCAAATTGGCTTGGTCATCCTACTTCCTCTTTGGTTTTTTACTAGCCATTTGGAACCGATGATATTGGAAGGCTCACAATGCCCTTTTCTTCTTATTTATCACTTTACCGTTCTGTATAAGGATGAGCTCCAGTGAGCTGGTGAAGGCGATGGTGGCTGTGCTGATATCGCGAGTTCGTGGGAAGGCTTCTATACATGTGGCTGCTTGGTACACTGGAGAAAGTGATGAAATTCTTCGACCTGCATCCAGGTCTTTCTCCAATGGAAACCCAAACATACTTGCTATAGAAAACAAGGTTATGGCCAATCTTCAATAGAGAGTCTTTAGACCCTCGTCAGGCTTGGCTGTGGAGAGCAATCTGGTGGGGACAAATTCTACCTCTGGCGTCTTGAGGGACAAATGGAAGTACATATCAACGGCACAACGTCGATGTGACAATTGCGGAAAGACAAACTTCGAACTCCTGTCTCTACGAGCCATTGTCGCGAGCGACTATAGTACAGCCGATGCTATATAGCTTCTTGTCGAGATATCTTGATAGTGCAGAGGAACAGAACAAGAGTAGGTGCCTTGGCTTTGTGGTTGCGAACAGTTTACCTAGCTTCGGACTATTAGACAGGCAGAGATTCCTTGGTCAAAGAAAGAAGAAGAGAGAAAGAGAAACAATTGACTTATTCCGCCTGAGATGCTTCAACTTATGGTCTTTGCTATCACCACCGCATACCTCCCGGACCCGAGGGATTGTCTTACGTTTGACCTTCAGTCCACTGGATCGTTTAGTAAACCAGTGGATTATTGACTAGAGGTTGATTGTCACCATGAGCCTTCCAGCCAGTCGCAGCTCCGTCAGTGTATGTGCATGTCACTGACGAACCATCCTGAAGCGACTATGAAAAAAAGAGAGAAAGAAAGCAAGAAAAAAGAAGAAAAGAAAAAAAACAAAACCTTCCCTACGCATTGCTTGCCGTGGTTTCACCCGCTTCTCAAGTCAAATTAGTGCCTGTCAATATGGTATCGATTCTCAGTTCATAAGCTTTTACATCGCAATAGTCGTCCGTCAACCATGCTGTCCTTGTTCTCAGAGGACACAGCGTCAGCCTGCCACAGCCAAGATTGAAGCCTTGCTTACCTTTTTCTTGTTTATTTCTTTGTTGCTCCTCTCTCATTTCCTATGTCTATTTTATTTATCTATCTTTTTTTACCGTTAGTAACCGAGACTGAGGCACGCATACTAATATTACCTGCGTTTAATAGGAAGATGTTTATTGGCGGTCTCAACTGGGAAACAACTGACCGTATGTACCTCCAGGATCCGTTGGTAGTCATCCAGCACAATTGTCAGCAATCTAACTTGGCGATTAGAATCCCTAAAGGACTACTTCTCTCAGTTCGGAGAGGTACAGGAATGTACTGTGATGCGAGACAGTGCTACAGGTCGCTCTAGGGGCTTTGGTTTCTTAACTTTTAGAGACCCTAAGACCGTCAATACTGTCATGGTCAAGGAGCATTACTTGGATGGAAAAATCGTGAGTCATGCATTTCATATCCTCAAATTCTTGAACAAAAGCACAAGCTTACATGGCTCGAAGATCGATCCGAAGCGTGCAATCCCTCGTGACGAACAAGAAAAGACAAGCAAAATCTTCGTTGGCGGTGTTAGCCAAGAAGCTAATGAACAAGACTTCAAACAATTTTTCATGCAATTTGGTCGTGTGATCGATGCTACTTTGATGATCGACAAGGACACTGGTCGGCCTCGCGGATTTGGATTTGTGACATTTGACAGCGAGGCTGCTGTTGAAGCAGCACTCTCGCGTCCTTTAGAGATACTCGGTAAGCCTATTGAGGTTAAGAAAGCTCAACCACGTGGTAATCTGCGGGACGAAGAGGATCGCAGGAACCGCCGTGGCAGAGACGGGTTTCGCGAGGGAAGTCAAATTGGCAGCGATGGTTCTCAGCCACAAGGCTCTCAAGGGCCGGCCGGCATGCCTAGTGGCTTGACTCCACAGATGATGGCGCAGTATTGGCAACGGATGCAGCAATATTTTGCTTTGATGCAGCAACAAATGGCCGTTGCCGCTCAGGGCCAAGGCATGGGCGCAATGGGCATGGGTGGAATGAACCCAGCTATGATGCAACAAATGCAGATGAAGCAGATGCAACAGATGCAAATGGGCAATAATCAACAACAGGGAAGCATGAGTCCTCCACCGCAGAGTCAGACCCCTCAAATGCAGAATATGATGAATCCTGCCATTATGCAGCAGATGCAGCAGATGCAAAACCAAGGTCAAGGAGGACAGATGGGGAATGCTATGAACATAGGGAGCAGTAGTCCTGGAAATGTGAACATGAGTGGAAGTTATTCAGGACCTCGTGGCGGCCCAGGCTACAACGCTCATGAGCAGATTGCCTTTGAACAACAGAAGTATGAACAGCAGCAGGCTCGTCGGGCCTTGGAAAACCGGGCGTTCTCTCCCTATCAACAGGGCGGTCCAACTTCCTGGGAAGGTATGTACGATGAAGTGCCCCAGCCCAACATCCCCACGGGACCGCAAGCCATGAATCGAGCTGGCAGTATGGGACGTGGTATGTATTTGGTAGAATTTTAATCGTCTGCTTGTTAAGGAATCATATGTATTATTCAACTGCTAACTCCGTTTCAGGACCGACACCTCAGCCTCAGAGTGCCGCACCAGCCAACGCTCCAACTGGGCCCAAGAATGCTGGAAAACCTGGAGCAAATTACCGAGGTGGAGGTCGCGGAGGCCATCGTGGCTTTCATCCTTATGCTCGTGGTTGATTTGATGCGTTTCTTCTACTCGGATGTTGCCATTCTAACCTCCCTCTTTGTGTGGTGCTGAGTCCATCCGGCAGCAACCTCTCAGTTACCTAATCTTCTTTTCAAATTTTTGCTTTTGTAAGTGGCGGCGGACCATGATACCGTGTGTTGAGCTAAGGATCTCCCTGAAATTGGTGATGTGTCTAATGTACTTATCCAACGATGCTGCTCTTGTGTCCTTCATGAAAATGCTTCCGACTACCTACTTATTCCTTCCCCGGAGAAAAGAAAAGAAGAGAGAGCGAGAGAGCGAAATAATATAAAGCAAAATAAGTAAAGTAAAATAATAATGTATGGCCGTCGCTGTCATTGAGTATCGAGAAATGGAGGATTCTTGAACAGCCAGTATGCACTCGGGATTTGAGACACAAATGGAAAAGAATAGCATAGAAGGGGAGACTATGGTTTAAAAACTTATGAAACTTTATAACTCAACTTGTTACCGGAACTACCATAAAGTTCACCTCACTCTAATGCACTACTGGTGTGTTCATCCCACTGTTGGAAGGGGCCGGCTACTCTATACGGATCTCTCCTCAATTTGAGGCTCACCATTAATCCTTCTGTCTGTGTCCTAATATAGGCCCAGTTATTTTACCCCATAAAGGATCCCCAAACACCAGGAAGATGATCATATTTAACATAATACTATTGTTTTAGGCGTGGGCCTTTGTCTTATAAGGAAGACTAATGTGCAATTATTGTTGGCTGTGACAGAATCTGAGGCTGATATGGACACGTATTCAAGTGTATATGCGAAAAATGGGATAGGAGGGCGAACAGGTACATCAAGTGAAGAAAGGAGTAACATCAAATCCGCTAAATTGATCGAATTGTCTGGCAAGAATAGGCTTCTATACACACAGAGAAAAAGAGGGTAAGAAGTAAGAGAAAATGGGTTAAGATAGAATAAGAAAGGATACAGAAGGCAGTGTATCATGAATTGCTTCCATGATCTAATGGCTCAATAGGCGAAGCCATAACCAGGAGCGGTAGGTTTACGTCCATCTGGGGAACCACGACTATCACGGGTATGCCGGCTTTCTCGGCTGAGACTTCGACCATGTTGACTTTCATGATAGCCAGGAGGGTCCACCAAACGGTCTGTGCTTCCTGTAGGGCTTGATCGTGACTTCGGATCGTAGTGGTCCCGGTAGCTCATAAGGGCCGGTGAAGTTAAACTTGCTCATCTCTGTGTACTCTTTCCGGGGTGGATTCTCCATGAGAAGCGACTCCCGCGCATCCAAAGGTGTCAAATCGTCGATATCACGGTTCATTTTTTCTAAGTAGAACGCCGATTGTTAGCATATCAAATGGCCCAAGAAGCTCCTTCAACTTACTGGCTTCTCTTCTCCGTTTCGCATGGGGATTTTCTCGGACACAGAGGATGATGGCGTTAGCGGCAATGAGGATGGCCAAGATGCCTGTGAGGGCGGATTGCACAACGATAAGGACAATACCCGTCACAGTCTTGGTAGTCTGCGAAAGACCAAGTTCCTCAACAAAGATCAACACGCAAGCAACCGATAATACACGGACAACCTGGATGCTGATATTGATCCACTGGCTCGACTTTGCAACATATGGCCGGTACCATAGCAAAAGCGCCAGCATGAGAGCTTCAACAATGAGTTGACCGGCGGACTGAACTAGGCCATGGCCGTTGCCCGCAGCGATAATTACGCCCTTGACAAACATGTACACGATCGCGGGGACAAAGAGCCACCAGTAATCCTTTTTGTAGTTGTCGTAAAAAAGACTGTACTTTCGCCAGGTCTCTGTATCCTCGTACAAGCCGGAGGCATCACCTTGAGATGCTTTGTATTTACGAGCCATATACCAGATTCGGAGGCTAAAAAAAATCAAGACACCGGTAAATATGACAAGTGTGACAACAGCCAATACTTTCGCGGCCCACGAATCTCCGCCGGTGAGCTGGTAGACGCAATACAAGACCCAAATCCCATAGAGAAGAAGAATCAGGTTAGTAATAGTCCTGGCCAGCAAACCCCAGTAATCTTTGCGAAAATTAGTGAGCTTCGCAGGGAAGGATCCATACAAGGCCCATAATTCAAGGATAACTTTAAGCAGTAAAATGCCCACTGTAATAGCAGCTATAACAATAGCAAATATCAGCAGACATGTCATGAATATGTTCGCTTGAGGAATGGTAAGCTGTTCCGCCCAAGCCTCTATACCAGAGACAACCTTTTTGACTGTATCATCGCTGGCCTCATCGCCAGATGTCGAATTCGCACTGTACGAAGTTGAGACATCACGTATAGTCAAGTCGGCAGCGCCTACAATCAAATTGAACCCTCGCTTGACCTTAGAACTTGTGTCTGTCGACGAGCCATTTGAGAACTCGAGCGTAGCATTGCGGAGAAAGTCGTAGCTGTTCTCAGTGAGGTTTCCGCCGGTCGACTTTCGGAAGTTATCGATAGACTGCTGCATTTGACCCCATGGGATTAGGCCGGTGCTGAAGGCAAAGTTCTTTGTGAAACTGCGATACACTGCTGGGTAGCTGACACTGAGCATGCCGTTCGTTGCCATGCTATGGAACCATCCCATGACATCACCAAACCCCGGACTAGATGAAGCAGCCCCAGGATGACCGGCAGCACCTATGGCAGACAGACCGCTCATTGCCAGAGCGGCACCTGCTACACCGGCGGCTGCATAAGTTACGCTTGGCATTTGTGCCGACTTTCCGTTCGACAACTGCGTTTCAATGCAAGCAACTTTGTGGATATCGTCCTTGGATTTCAGCTCAAGTTTCACTTGCCCATCCAAGTCGGGTATAGCAAAGGCGATCGCAGGAATCTGGCTGGCAAAGGACTCTGGGATTTGTTGAGAACCAGTAGCTTGAAAGACGCCGGAAGGGACTGCATTGAGGAGAAAAAAGTCAGTATTATAGGCAGGAGAGTTTCCGTGCTAATAAAACTTACCAGGACAAAGTTCCTCGACATGATTCTCCGAGCCACAAGGGTCGAATGACTTGCTATATATTTCATTACCGTAGGCGTAAACCGACAGAGATGCGGTAACGTTCTGCTGTTTTGCGTTTGTTCCGGCAACATCAAAGACTACCACTCTAGTGGAACGTGTATAAGTAACGTCCAACTTTTGGACCTGTATTTCTGCGCCCGTCAGACAGGTTGAGATGCCATTTGTGCTAAGCGTGTCCGCTGCGAGAACGTGCACGGAACACAGGCCCAAGGCAATTAAGGTGAGCTCTGATATAGAAACCCGCATTGCGGCAAGAACAATCTTTCCAATACTCAAGTTCAAAGTGCCAACATCAAACGTGTTGTTCAGGCGTCAGTTTCTCACAAGTAGGAATTCCCAATCCCGAAGTTCGGTTTGACAGACAATCGAGATGAATATTTGAAGGCGATTAAACTGATTAAAGTTGAAGAAAACTCCAAGTAATCAAGCTGATAGCAACCGGACCAGCCGAGAATCAGAAATGCCACAGGATCAACCTGTGTAGAATAGAAAGAATCGTATATATAACTAGTTTAATGAGAGCAATCACAACGCGAAAATAAAGAGCATCAAAAGACAGGGAGAATGATTGGGGAGAAGGAGGGTTGAGCAAGAAAAGTTGAGAGGCTTCCAAAAGAGAGGCATACACAAGGAAAGCGTTAGGACCACTCAATCCACTCGCTCACTCCGTCTCTTGTAGCTCACCTTTCCTCGGCCTCAAGGAAAACGGCAGGGGAAGGGAAGAGCTGTATGGACTATGAGGAGAGAGAGTAAAGGAAAGAGTGAGTCGAAAGAAACAATAGCAGCTCTCGGGTGGTTCTGGGAAAGAAAGGAGTCGCAAGGGAGCGCGTGAAGTGAAAAAGAGGCAAAACAGACGGCGAGACGCAAGACGCAGCGCAAAATCAGAAACACGACTTGTATGTCAAACGAGTGATGATGGAGAATGAAAGTAGAAGGAGGGGAGGATATGCACATCAATCAGTCGATCAGTGATAGAAGAGAAGCCATCTTCTTCAGGGCGTCTGGCTGGATCGGTACAGTACAAGCATACGCACAGTGCGGGCCAATCTCCCTACCGAAAAGCTGGTACCAGAACTAACTAGTAAAGAGTAGTACCCATTACCTTACCGAGAATGCCTAATAATAATCAACAAGACGGTGTCAAGTGGTTAGCTCTTCGTTGTAGGGTTCGAGACTCCGACACCTTGCCCCTGAATTGTCTCAAGATTTGTCCCACCACGGCCATCGATTGGTCCAGTGCCCGGCTCAGGAACGGCCCAAGAATGGCGCCGTCTGGAGCCGTTTAGACTCTAGACCTTTTTATGGGGCCACTGATATGCTGGCATCATAGTACTTCTTCCTACCAAGGTAAATAAAGGTAATTTCTTTACGTAGTACCACTACCGTATGTCAAATAGATTCCAACATTTCCAGTTACTCATCCAGACTTTTCCTTTTTTTTTTTTTTTTTTTTTTTCCCTTTCGTATTTGTATGATCCATTTACGG